CAGTAGATTTTTGTTCTTTACTTCGATTATTATTATTATTATTATTATTATTATTATTATTATTATTATTATTATTATTATTATTATTATTATTATCATCATCATCATCATCATCATTATTATTATTTGCTTTTAGTAACCACTTCTTGCTTCAGGTTATCTCCTTTAGGTCCCTTAGTTATATGCTATTTTTCTTTTTTCTTAAATTGTAAAATCCTCCTGAACAAAGTTGTTCTCTGATAATTGTTTTCCTCTTCACAAAGTAACTCAAATGTCTCTGGTTTCTCTAGAATCTCAAGGAAACTTTAAGCAGGTATGTGATTTATAATCTTTTGGGGCTAATAATGAATTTAAGTGGTTACAGAAAAATATACCATATTTTTCGGAGTATAAGATTGCATCAATGTTTTGAAAAGGCAAATTTTTAAAAAAAAGTTTTTGCACTCTGCAAGCCTCCCAAAAACAGGCCTGTTCCCCCCCCCCCAAAAGGGCACGAATAGCCTTTAGGAGGCTTATAGAGTGCTCCTGGGAGCTGGGGGGGGGATTTCTGCCTTCCCCAGCCCCCAGGAGCCCTCTGAAAGCCTCCTAAAAGCTATGCAGGACTATTTTGGTGAAGGGAGCAGGGTTTCAGGAATAAAAAATGCTGTATTCAGTGTATAAGATGCACCCATATTTTCAGCCTCTTTTTTGAGGGAAAAAGGTGTGTCTTATACTCCGAAAAATACAGTGTGTGTGTATTGGAAATTAATCTGGAGACAGTCTGGCTGTGCTTCTGATTTTTCTCTTACCAGATGCTTGGAGGCAGTCAAACAACAGGGGAAGCCACAGAACTAAAATAGTTTGGTACTTCTCTGATCTCCTAGGTGTAAAAAGGGTGAGCTCCTTTGCTTCCATGAGAAACCTGTTAACCTGGAAAAAGATCTCAGGGCCATCTCTCAGCAAAGTGATCTATTAATGGAAAACTTCAAGAAATTTAGAGGTACGGAAGCTACATAAGAAATACATGTTTCTGTAATTTGTAGGGTAAACCTTGTTCCTGTGAAATGATCTCTTCCAAATGGGGAAAAAGTAGAGAGGGTAGAAAGAAGGAATAGATTAATTCTGAGGACTTACTCTAGATTTGATGAGAATTTCTATTTTCATGAATACTGAAAGAAGTTATAGAGGAATGGCAGAAGTATTTACATTGAAATGTCCATCTCACATTGTCCGGAAGTATTATGGTAATGTTGAGGGCAGTGTTTCTCAACCTTGGCAACTTTAAGGTGTGTGGACTTCAGCTCCCAGTCAACATGATGGTTGGGAAATTCTGAGAGTTGAAGGCTACAGTTCTTAAAGTTTGCATGGTTGAGAAACATTGGTTGAGGGTATTATGGGAAATTTAAATGGCAACTCCTGATATTGACTTGCCATTATCCAAGACGTTTTCCAAAAGGTCCATTTTAATGAATGGATCTGCTGTTTTGACTATGAAAATGCCATTTTAAGCATTTCACTACCGTTCTTAGCTGAAGAAAAAAAGTTTTGCTCCTTGTTTTATACTCAGAACATATCCAAGAAAAATATTTTGCTCAACCTGAGAAACAACCATTTGAAAAAGATGATTGGAACAGCACTTACAAGAAAAATTGAAATTCTAAAAGGGGTGGGTCTAAGGCAGACATCTCCTTGAGGATGATCTATGGGTCCTGTTACACTTCAGGAAACAGATTATACACTTCTTACTAATGAACTTGTGGCAAGCATGTGGCAAGACGTTGTGCAAACAAATTTCAATTTTCCTTTTCTGGAGCAGAGACAGAAAAAATTAAAGCCACCCAGATGTTGCTGAATTAAACTTCCTAGCAGCATTAACCAGTGTGGCCAGTGATGGGGAATGCTGAGAATCATAGGTATCCCATTTCAGCTCTGGAGCATGGTGTGTGGGATTATGTTACCTTTAAACAAGGCAGTTTTAAAGACATGCTCAGAGCTCCTGATGTCACATTTGATTCTTAATTCTATTGCCGAAGCAGCTAGCAATATCTTCTGAATGTGGCAATTTTTTGAGCAGAAATTCTCTGAACCTTTCTAATTTTTAGATTCTTTCTTTTATAGGTCCTAGGCCTCTATGGGGATAAATTTTTAAACTCTTCCCACTGGGAAGTAAGTAAGTAAGTAAGTAAGTAAGTAAGTAAGGAAGGAAGGAAGGAAGGAAAGAAGGATAAAAGGATAAACAGGTGTTTGTGTGTGTGTGTGTGTGTGCACGCACACACACAAATTCTCCAGTGTGTTCTTGATAGAAGGACCAAATCTTCATTCTTCTTTCTTGCCTAGAATCACTGATGGACGAATTGTCGAAAAGCAAGACCAGAGGGCTTAATGCTGTCCTCCTGAGTCAGACTGCTCAGCCCGATCAGCCCCAAATCTTCTGGCCACGATTGTATAATGATGCCGTGAGAGCAGACAAGAAAGGTGAGGCTGCCTTTTCTTAATTTGTTTTTTTTTTCACTCTTGCATACAATACCTTTGGAACTTGCAACTTGGGTAGGATTAAAAGTTTGCTGCTTCTAAGTTTTGGAGAATCTTCATATTGTAGAGGTATAGATGGCTAGTCTATAGATCAGTGACGGAGAACTTTTTCAGCACCGAGAGACCAAACCAGAATGCGTGTGCATGCGCGTGCATGCACATGCACATGCGTGTGCATGCATGTGCATGTGTGCGTGCGCGTGCATGTGTGCATGCGCATGCATGTCTGCACACCAGAGCACCGAAAACCCAAAGACCAGCTGGCCAGTGTGCATCTACCTATTTTTTGGCCATTTTTAAGCTGTTTTGAGGCCATTTTTAAGTCATTTGTTGGACCCATTTTGGCTCGAAAAACAGTCCCAAAACAGCCTAGAAAGGGCCTGACAACAGGTGTGGTTTCGGGCCATTTTTCAGGACATTTTCAGGCTGTTTTTGAGCCATTTTTCAGGACATTTGGGGCCATATTTCAGGGCCACAAATGGCTCAAAAAACTGTCCCCAAACCAGCTGAAAAACAGCCCAGAAGACAGCCTGTTGGCTGTTTTCCAGGCCATTTTCTACTGCTCCAGCACCTACGAAGACCAGTTGGCAACGGTGCTCGTGCCCATAGAGAAGGCTCTGTGTGCCACCTTTGGCACGCGGGCCATAGGTTCGTCATCACTACTATAGATGGTTAGTCAAGGGGTTAAGGCACCAGGCTAAAAACAGAGAGACTGTAAGTTCTAGTCCTGCCTTAGACACAAAGCCACCTGGTTAACCTTGGGTCTCTCACTCTCTCAGCTCAACTCACCTCACACAGTGGTGGTTGTGGGGAAAATAAGAGGAAGAAGAAGTATTAGGTATATTTACCGCCCTGAATTACAGATAGTCCTCGACTTGCAACGGGTCGGTTAGTGACCATTTGAAGTTAAACCGGTCCTGAAAAGAGGAGTTGCAACCCTGATTCAAAGTTCTGACATCTGTCCTTACAAATCACATCACCATATTTTGGACACTCAGCAACTGGCTCTGATCTATGGCCATTTGCAGTCCCGCGATTGTGATTTATGATGTTTTAACCGGCATTTGCTTCCAGTATCCAACTAAAATGGCCCATAGCGAAAAATCGGCTCATTTAATGACTATGGCATTTGCTTAACAACTGCGGTGTTTGTTCAATAACCATGCAAAAATTGTAAAATTGAGTGCGGTCACATGATATGACCCACTTTACAGCTGAAATTGCAGGCTCAATTACAGTTATAAGTCAAGGACTATGTTTATAAAAATAATAAAGGCGGGATAAACAAGATCTTTAAAAATCACATGGTTTATTTTTCACATAATAGAATAGAAATAATGGAATGGAATAGAATAACTTTATTGTCACTTTAAATGTACACTAATCAGTATACCTTTAAAATGAAATTTCATTGCACACAGCTCTCAAAGGGTCTCCACCTCCAATATACACTACATAAACATGACAAAATAAGCAAATAAATAAATAAATACAAAATTATGCATCGACCCGCCACGTATGTTATGCAACTTGCATAAGTGTTCGCAGGAGTCTCACCCTGCTTAAGAGATGATGGAGAGAAAGATTCAAAGATGCAGAGGTCAATAGGTGATCTCCAAAATAACCAACGGATGTCGAGATTGTGCGGTTGATGCTGAAGCTAAGCTGTTGGGCAAATGAACACTCGCTGTTGCGTGTGAGCATTTGTATCGCTTTCCTGGCAGGAAACATCGGTTTGGATTTAATTGGATAATTGAGAAGGCAGGTTGGGGGCCGAGAAGACAGCATGAACCATTATTCTTTTTCTGTTTCTCTCAGTCTCCCCAGTCAGCGTGACCCTAGATCCACGTACGGCCAATCCCCATCTCCTCCTCGGATCGGATCGGAAGACAGTCACGCGCCTGGATCACAGGCAGACCTTGCCGGACAATCCTGAGAGGTTTGATGCCGAGTTCTTTGTGCTGGGCTGCGAAAGCTTCTGCTCTGGGAAGCATTCCTGGGTGGTGAACGTCGAGCAGGGGCAGAACTGGGCCATTGGCATCGCCCGGGAGTCTGTGAGGAGGAAAGGGAGCCTCAGCCTCAGCCCACAGCAAGGCATTTGGGCAGTACAGCAGTGCTGGGGCCAGCTGCAAGCGCTGACCTCTCGCTGGACTACCCTGTTTCTGCTCAGGAAGCCCAAGAGGATCAGAGTACATCTGGATTATGAGGGAGGGTGGGTGGCCTTTTTCGATGCAGAGCTGGATGCTCCCATTTTTACTTTTCCGCCCACCTCGTTCAAGCGAGAGAGGATTCACCCTTGGTTCTGGGTGGCGTCTGGATCCCAGCTCACCTTGTGCCCCTGAGATTATTCCGGGCATTTGGGATTTCAGCAATTTGAGCAGCCTTGTGTAATATTGGACGTAAAGCAGCGATGTGACAATTGCTTCGGAACTACATAGGTTAACTATGTCAGCAGAGAAATGATTGTTTTTTCGAATTTTTAGTGAGGCATTAAAGGTCACTGAAAGCGCCACTCAGGGATATATTTTAAAGGAAGGAATTGCGATGGTATAAAATGGCTTTTAACCAGCTCTGATGGAAGGGGGGGGGGCGGGGAATGGCGATTTTAAAATGCTTACATAGTTGGACACTTATCTCCCAGGAGAGTTGTTCTCCCATGCCACTTCTGTAGCAGAGTTCAAAATAAAATAAATGTACTGGAGTGGATACCTAGTCAAAATATAAAACATGTTTCTAGTCCTCATGGCTGAGGACCGAGGAGCCGAGGTGGCGCAGTGGTTAGGGTGCAGTACTGCAGGCCACTTCAGCTGACTGTCATCTGCAGTTCGGCGGTTCTAATCTAACCGGCTCAAGGTTGACTCAGCCTTCCATCCTTCCGAGGTGGGT